CAATGAGAGCTTCTGCTCAAAGTGAACAATATCGGATTGAGTCATTGATATCAAATAATTCTAATGATGATATTTGTTGAATGATCAGTAGGATTCAAATAAACCCTTTGTTCTCCTCACAATTCACCCCCCATGGGCCCCAGTGTCCTCACTAGCACTACCCATATAAGTAATGCTTTGTTTTGATCTCAAACCGATGTGAGATCTCACAGTCCACTCCCCTTGGGGGCCCAGTGTTCTCACTGACATACTGCTCGGTGTCTGACTCTAATTACATCTATAACAGCTCAAGCCCAAGCCCAACACTAGTAGATATTGTCCGCTTTGGCTTGTTACATATCGCCGTCAGCTTCACGGTTTTAAAATGCGTCTGTTGGGGAGAGGTTTCCACACCCTTATAAAGAATGTTTCGTTCTCCTCCTCAACTAGTGTGAGATCTCACAATCCACCCCCTTCGGGGTCCAGCGTCTTCGCTGGCATTCGCTCCCTTCTCCAATCGATGTGGGACACCTCCAATCCACCCCCTTCAAGGCCTAGCGTCCTTGCTGACACACTGCCTCGTGTCCACCCCCTTTAGGGCCCAGCCTCCTCACTGGCACATCGTCCAATGTCTAGCCCAAATACCATTTGTAACAACTCAAACCCCCCGCTAGTAGATACTATCCTCTTTGGGTTTGTCACCAGACGGTGCGAGACACTAGTCAGAGTAGGACGACTCTCTCCATAATAAACACGTTTTAAAAAGTTTGAGAGGAAGTGCGAAAGAGAAAGCCCAAAGAAGACAAGATCTACTCTTTTGAATTATAACGGTGAGATAAATCAAAACCTGAATTCCAAGACAGTGTTTGCCCCCAATCTTAGTGCAATGGACTTTCCTACACTTAACAGTGTCAGGTAGTCATCCTTCTGATAAGGATGGCATGCTTTTCTTCAAACCCAGCACCGCCCCATCTAGAGGTGCTGCATATTTTGCTTCCACTGTCGGGAAATGGTTCTGCTGGTGATTCTATTGGCTCAGGTAGAAGTTCTCATATTTTAGCTAGCAAGTATATTATGAAAGACACCTATAGTGAGAGGTAGCTACATCGAGGTTCAGCTCGGGCTGCTCCTATTTGCTGGAAACTGCTTCGCCATCGGTAATTGCATAGCTGTCCAAATTCGTTCAATACTACCTCAAACATTATTTTCGATCCAAAGAATTGCAATAAACCATCTAACAAGAAGTCTAAGTCTAATCTCATACTTTACTTCGAGACAAGTTTTTGACCAATAAATATCGTCCACTAATTCCAGATGGAAGAACCTGTATGGTATCTTAAGAGAGGCCACTACGGAAAGCACACTACCATAGATGCTCCAATCTACCTATTTGACGTCCTCACATCAATCGGTTCTCCTTAAGAAATGAGCACTAGAGAGACAAACAACACTAGTGGAAGTGTCTCAGGAGGAGTGAGCATGAGAGAGGCAAACAATGCCCGTGTAAGTGTTGTGAGCACGAGAGAGGCAAGAAACATCCATGAGAGTGCTCAAAGAGGGGTGAACACGAGAGAGGCAAGTAATGCTCGTGGAAGTGCTCCAAGAAGATAATATGCATGAGTTAATGGTTTCAATTGATAGATGCGCTAACAAAAGGACTCCATAACTTTAAGCCGTGAAGTTATTTTGTTAGGATATCTATCAGTTGAAACCATGAGCGCACATAACTCATGCATACTATCTCTTTGGAGCACTTCCACAGTCGTAGCTTGCCTCTCTCATGCTCACTCATCTTGGAGCACTTCCAAGTGCATTACTTATCTCTCTCGTGCTCACTCCTCTTTGAGCACTTTCATGGACATTGCTTGCCTCTCTCGTGCTCGCTTCTCTTTGAACAATTCCACAAGTGTTGCTTGCCTCTTAGTGCCAATTCTCTAGGAGAACCGATTGATGTTTGGAAGAACTTTATCACTTGCAATAGTGACTCCTTGAAGCAATTTTTTGAGCTCCTCATCATTCCTCATAGCTAGAACATACTTATGATTTATCCTATTTTTCTTGTGTTGCATGGTGCATTCTTAACCAATTCCAAAACCATAATGGCAATGTATTTGAGGACGATAACCAGGTGGATTAGAGCATCTACGACAGTGCGCTTTCCATAGCGGCCTTTCTTAAGGTACCGTTCGATTCTTCCATCTAGGAATAGGAGTTCAACCTTCACAGATCTGAAGATTTTAGTAAAAGCTAACAAATCCCTAAATTAACAATAAATCTAAGCTACTGGGAAATAATAAATCTAAATATATCCCTTATATTTAGAGCAGGGTCTTTTATAACACGATCTCTACCGAGGATTCATACTCCCACAATAGGACGTTTTTTAACACGAAAAATGACTTCTCCTTATATTCATAACCCTATACAAACCATCTCCATTCGCAGCAACCCCAAGGTCAAGAATATTCTATGTTTGTATAATTCTTAGTATAAATGTTCATAACATATAAGTACTGGTAAATAATAGCTTGAACTTTCATCACTAGGACTCTATTTTACAGCATCTTTGAAAATTTGAATAAAGCTTTTACAGGTAGATAAAAAATTACCAAAATCAACTTTTTCAAGAATTCTCTATAACAATATGATCTTTTTTTTAACGAAGACTTTAGTGAGTCATTGTGAGATGCCAGATCGGTTGGGGAGGAGAACGAAACGTTCCTTATAAGGGTGTGAAAACCTCCCCATAGCAAACGCGTTTTAAAAACCTCAAAAGGAAGTTTGGAAGGGAAAGCCCAAAGAGGACAATATCTGTTAGCGGTGGGCTTGGACCGTTACAAATAGTATCAGAACCAGGATTTAGACTATGTGTCATAGAGGAGGCTGAACCCCGAAGGAAGGTGGACACGAGGCGGTGTGCCAGCAAGGATGTTAGGCCCTGAAGGGGGGTGGATTGGGGGATCCCACATCGATTGGGGAAGGGAACGAGTGCCAGCAAGGACGCTGGGCCCCGAGGGGGGTGAATTGTGAGGTCTCACATCGGTTGGGGAGAATGAAACATTCTTTATAAGGGTGTGAAAACCTCTCCCTAGCAAACGCATTTTAAAAACCTTGAGAGGAAGCCCGGAAAGAAAAGCCCAAAGAGGACAATATCTATTAGCGATGGGGGTTTTGTGCGGTTACAAATAATATCAGAAACAGGATTTGGGAGATGTGTCATAGAGGAGGCTGAGCCCCGTAGGAAGGTGGACACGAGGCGGTGTGCCAACAAGGGTGCTAGGCCCTGAAGGGGGTGGATTGGGGGATCTCACATCGATTGGTGAAGAGGGGTGAATTGTGAGGTCGCATATCGGTTGGGGAGAATGAAACATTTTTTATAAATGTGTGGAAACCTCTCCCTAGCAAATGTGTTTTAAAAACCTTGAGGGAAAACCCAAAAGAAAAAGCCTAAAGACGACAATATCTGCTAGCAAATGTGTTTTAAAAACCTTGAGAGAAAACCCAAAAGAAAAAGCTTAAAGACGACAATATCTGCTAGCCAAAGTGGACTTGGACCGTTACCGTCAACCTCTTAAAACTTCTAACAACCAACCTTCAATAAAACTTCTTGATACCCTATTATTCCAAAATAAGCTTTCCAAAGAATTCTTCGTAATTACCAGTAAAACTGAAAATCAATCATATACCAAGAGATCTCCAATTTGGTATAAAATAACTACTCTACATCAACCAAATGGAAATGGAAGTCATTTCACAAACACATTAGTACATGTAATTTATACCTCTCAAGAACATAATATCTAATGCTATCTAAGTCATTCACAAACAAACCGTCCTCAATTACCGTGAGTACATATAATTTCCAAAACATAAGCTCTCATGGCTTTGCTTTGGCTTCCCCAAAAGGCCTCACTCCATGGAGAGAGTATTCCTTGATTATAAACTCATGATCATTCCCTAAATTAACAATGTTGGTGGATGATGAAAGTCCCAGATCGACTAACCACTTTTTAGCACCAATTCAAGCAAATCCTTTCATTCTAGTGTTTTCTTTCTCCAAAATTTTGCAAACCACTTTTTCTCATCCCTTATTCCTTGATCCAAATAATTTTTAGCTTTCCAACTGTCCTTGATTGATATTCTTTCATTCTTCAAATGTCTTATGAGATATTACACAAAATTCCTTTATCCTTACGAAGTATCTTTCTTATTCCTTGAATACATAACCATAATCTCAACAAATAAAATGTTGTACTTTACCACTCGTACTTTACAATACTACACAACTTCATTGATAACCGTAACATCTATTGTTGTAGTGCAAATCTTTACAACCCCTTTCTCTCACTTGCCCTAAAATAAATCTCCTTCCTTAGTTGCTTAATCATGATCTCCAATTCAAAGAATCACAAGAACTCTTTAGACAAAAAGGAATTCGCCCCTTTAGATTAGGCCCTAGTGTTGTATCTTTAGTAAGGAATGACCGAGGATCTAAACCATCTCTCCTGTGGTCTTGCCCAACCTACAGATTGTAGTTCCATGGTGGAAGAGCTTCTTCTTCATCCCCTTTTCAAGAAGAAGAGGTTGTTTTCTGTTGAAAGAAACCAGAGGATTTTTAAAGAGATTGGAAGACCTTGGGGTGAGGTGTAGCCTTATTAGATCACACGTCTGTGTGGAAGGATGTTTACAATTTTTTGTAATTACCCTTAAGTCTTATTTTGTTTGATTGGAGCATTTTTTTCAGGTCAATTGGGCTCCTCTTTGGGTGGTTTTCTAGTGTTCCTCTTGTATTCTTTCATTTGATCACAACGAAAGCTTCACTTTACCTTTGAAACATAAAAAATGAAAAACTATTCCTAACACCTAAAACACCCATAAATGTAACTTAATTCCTTACTCATGAACCTCTTTCAACTACACTCATTACAATCCTTTATTGTAGTTTAACCATTTACTCTTGAAACAAAAACATGACATCGGCAGCACAAGGAACATTAAAAAAGAAAAACAAAGACATAATAAAGATTAAACGTAGTAATCTAACCTTATTAGGACCATAACATTGCAGTCACACGTATGGTAGTTCATGATGTCAAGTAGAAAATTACTTACATGATGGAGGCATTGAAAGTAGCAACCAGAGTTGGATTCCTTGTAGAATGACCTCAACTTTATTGTCTTCGTCTACGTCCTCCATTTCCATCTGAAATTTTCACAACATAGTTACTAACCAAAACCTTCAGCATTAGCAAATGAAATATGAGAAATAATGTCAAACTGATGAGATATGGATAATTAGAAACCATTGAAAGTGAACATTTGGTAAAGTTTGACGTGTAAATAGAACTCATTCTAGCTTGTTGTTCTTAGAAATCAAATTGTATGAATAGAATAATCTAAAATAATATTGCATGATCCAAATTTGGTAGGCCAATCTATAACTTTCATGCACGGAGTTAAATAGGCACCAAATATCAACTTTGAAAATTTTGCATCAAGAATTAAATCATTTTATTGCATATGCACAAAATAATCCAACATGGTTTATCGTGAATAATTTTATAGTGTCATTCAATTTCCAAATCCCATTCAAACATTTTTGCACCTTGTCAAGTGACCACTGGATCCTTTAGCTTCTTTTGACCACTGGATCATTTTATTTTGTTCACTAGAATTATTTTTGGATGCTTTCTTTCATTGCCTTTTACGTTCACTCCCTTGGGAAGACATTTTTTCTATGTAATTAGAATGGTAAAAGTGATGTAAAAACAATGGCTCACCTCTGTGGATTGTGTGGTTATATTTTATGCACCCCTAACTGTTTTCTACAAACTTTACATGAACCGGATCGTCCTGCATGATATTATCAATGAAAAAGATCATTACGCGTTTATCTTCAATGCAGACAAATCATTAAGTTAGACAAAGAAATGTTTAAAGTACCTTCGATATCAACAAATTGATTGCTATCATTCTGCATTGGGCACAAATCAGTCTCTCATATCGTACGTGATTATGACCTACAGGAATGTTAGCAAACCAAAAAGCTCATTCTCAAAAATTCTATAGATGAAGAGCAAAATGAAACCTAACAAACTTCATCAATCATAAAAACAATAACTAGTTTGAAAATCCTAAAATTATCTTTTCCATGTTGTAAGTGTGTGCACAAATGCATATAACAACAAGATAACCTCAACCTTGGTCTCAAATGTATTGGCTAGCTTTGAAGCAGCCACTCACCTCAACTATTAGGGCCCTAGAACTAATTAGTGCAGAAGTTTAAGTAAAACACTTCACTTACGTTTGAAATCACATACAAATAAAAAATAAGAGAACATCAAATCATACTTTACAGAACTTGTGGTTTTGACAGAAAAATATAACATCACATAATCCCTGCTCTGTTTGTGCATTTGACTGCAATGTTTGCTAAAGCTACAATACACAACTTACTTCCCAGACACCCAAAAACATCAACAAAAAATTCAACCTTACAGCAAAGGGCTTGGAATCATACCAGTCATCCTAGCAGATGCGAAAATCCCACCGGCCACAATGACAGGACCAATTGCTTTAATTTTGCCCAAGCAATCACTTCATCAAGAGCAACTGCTGCGTTCTTCCCCTCTCTGTTGTCATATAGCCAATCTCAATGACGTACAGAGTTCGCCGTCCTCTTCTTCTGCCAATACATAAATTTGAATATAAGGTTCATCCCCTGGCTCCTCACGTAGAGAAGAGATAGAAGATGACAAGCAATAAAACGAAGAGTCCAAGATCATAATCACGTAACCTCTGTAATCGAAAATCCCGAATCCTCCGTTATCGAAACCACGAAAAATACAAATAGAATCCGTAATAGGCAAAAAAAAAAAAAAAACGAACAATCCTTTGATCAACCTCTGAATTTCTCCAATTAACCCCTAAATCGGAATAGCCGGTTGAACCCTAACAATTTCGAACTCAGAACAGAATAGTCAAGACCAACCTACTCATACAATTAAAAGGCTGAAACGAAGTTCAATTACCTCTGTTTTTCATCACCGAGATGCGGCCAGATACTTCTTTCGATTCTGCTCTCTCTTCCTCCGATTGCCTGGTAATGATCAAACGAACACTCAAGAGGTAAGAGGCCGTTGATGGAGAACTCTGGGAGAATGTGCGGAATAAGAGAGTGACAGTGGGGGAGAAATATATATATCTATATGCAAGCCGCGAGCGTCCGAGTGGTAACGGCTCTGAAGACCGTTTTGACTTTGACCGTGGAAAGACCGTCGCCGATACGAACGGCTAGGTAAATGAATTGATTACTTCCGTATTTTTAGGGATTTTGGAGATTTTATTAACAATATTTTGTTTTAATTTAAAAAACGAAACAAATAATTTTCATATATTTTTTTAATTAAACTCTCATAAAAATTACAAATTTTTGTAATTTAATAATTGGCTTTTATATATTTTTCATAAGAATTATAGGCTATTTAGGATGCCCGATTCAATTTTTTAGGCTATTTTTAGTAACTAATTTTTTATTTAATAATTTAATTTTGAATTACATATCAATTTTTAAAATAATATTTTAGGAATAGATCGAGAAAAAAAAAAGTAATTTTCATATACTCATATATTATTTTGGTATAATATATTTTAAACATAATATCTAAATTTTATATTTTTAAATACCTGATTTATTGTCGATCCAAAAAGTTGCTAATTTAGAGAATAGTCATGAGTTTATAATAAAAAAAATATATTATCTCCATTATTACGAGACCTTCCGAAAAAAATCCAGATCAAATCATGGTCTATGTTCTAACAATATTAGTATAGTGAGGGTGGTTACTATTTGATATGTTATCAGAATTCTGACCTAAATTTAGTCAAATAATATTTAAATTTAAAATAAACAATAAATAAATTTTAAGAATTTATAAATATTTATATATTCGAGTTTAACTTTAAAAAAAACAAAATAAAATTAAGTTTAATGGATTAATTTTTTTAATTTTATTTTCAATTCATCCCTCATTTCTCCCTCGAAGATCAAGATAATTGAGGCAAGGGCAGCCATCCGCTACTTCCATACCTTCCCGCCGAGCAAAAGCTTCCGCAGAGCTCCAACAATGGGATTTCATTCCTCATTCAGCGCCACATCTTTGCAAACCCTTAAGCTCGCCGCCGTTCCGACGACTTCCCATCTTATTTTCAGGCTACCTACCAAAATCGCTTCTCTCAATTCTCTTCATCCTTGTTTCCGTAACCGGAAACCTCCATGTTCATTGCTTGTTCGAGCTCTCTCATTTTCGGCAGTCCAAGTCGATCCTCCCACTGCAACTGCCGGAGAAGAAATAGGTGATTTTATTTTCTCATATTGTTATTTTGTTGTTTACATGTTGATTGATTACTCCAATTTACTTTGTGAGAAAATGAGTGGTTGATGTTGTTATTGTTCTGTTCTTGGATTGGATTAGTTGGGAAGCCTCAATGGAAAGCTTCGATAGATTTCAAGTGGATTAGGGATAACAAGGATTTGGTGGCTGCAAATATAGAGAATCGGAAGTCTGGTGCCAATTTGGAACTTGTACTCCAGCTGTATGACAAAATGCTAAATCTTCAGAAGGTTAGATTTTGATTCTTTTTTTCCTTTTTCCTTTTTTTTTTTTTTTTTTGTTACTTTTCTTTTCTGTAATAGTTCTTGCAGCATTGTAGCTGCATTATAATGTGTATTGATATTTTCATCAAATTTTTTGTTGCCCAACTATACACGAGGACAGACTATCAAACTAGTTTTTCGCCACTTTAAATCAATGCTTAGCTAATTGTTACTCACAGAGATCAGGAAGTTGAGCGGCTTCGTGCTGAAAGGAACATGGTTGCAAACAAGATGAAAGGGAAGCTGGAACCATCTGAGCGACAAAAACTCATAGAGGAAGGTTAGAGCATTTTTCAAACACCTCATTAGCTTCATTTTCAATTTCCGTGTTACCGAATTCACTTTGGTGTTCTCTTTCCAGGAAAGAATTTGAAGGAAGGATTGGTTTCTTTGGAAGAAAACCTTCTTAAACTAACAGATCAGCTTCAACAAGAAGCACAATGCATTCCAAACATCACCCATCCTGATGTTCCAATCGGAGGGGAGGACTGTTCGATAATAAGAAAGACGGTATTTCTGCTTTTCACAACTCTTTATTATATTTCCTAACCACAATCCTTCTGGATGGTGTGTTTTATGTCCTGCATTCTCTCTTGTAGGTCGGTAGCCCAAGAGAGTTCGGTTTTTCTGTTAAAGATCATCTTGAACTTGGGAAGCAGCTAAACCTTTTTGATTTTGATGCTGCTGCTGAGGTACAATCCCTGTTCAATTTAAGATACCCAAGAGGAGTTACTAGTTCACCTTGTCATGTATATTTAGTATGTTTTACGAAGAAAGCTATTGTTTTGACTTTAAATCTTCACAAAAGATTCTCTCTATCTTATTTTTGGTTAATGCTTATCATTCTATGTTATAAATTGGAGGACTATCTTTAAGAGATGAATTATCAAGCTTATAGTTTTGTTGCATGACATGATAATTACAAGTCTTTGCTTATGTTGCTATGTTCATGAGTATTAGTTTAGTTGTTCAGACCGTGTAGTTATAAATGTCCAGTTATGGCGCAAGTGGAATCGTTTATCGGACTTTGCAACTTTTGTTTAGTTTGAGAAATCCAATCCATGATCTATAACTCTGCTTAGTCCTATTTCAAACTTTTATTAGTTCAATAAATTTCTGGAAGTGGGAACTGCCTTAATGTAATGTTGCTGTGGCTTATACAGGTCAGTGGATCTAAGTTCTATTACCTGAAAAATGCTGCAGTAACCTTGGAAATGGGTCTAATCAGCTGGACACTCTCAGAAGTAATGAAAAGGGGCTTTACTCCTGTGATAACCCCAGAAATTGTGAGGTCCTCAGTTGTTGAAAAGTGTGGATTTCAACCTCGTGGTGAAAATACTCAGGTTTTGCAACTTTTCTCTAACCTCTTCTCGGTTTTTGTATTTTTAACGTACCATGCAGAGAAAGTTAAAGCAATAATCTCCGAGGTGTTTGACTGCTAGTTTCATCGTTTTGAGATAACTTCTCAGTCAACCTCGTATATTTTGAACTTCTATTGAGTTGTATTGAGATGTAACTTGCTTTCAAGGCCTTAGACTTAGATGTTGAGCAGCGTATAGACTTGACCACTGCAGACATGACCCAGGGAGTAAAACGTTTGAATAGAATGAGAGGTGTCCATTATTTGGAAGAGTGTTTAATTTCCGTCTTTCCATACTCACTCGTGCTTGGCAGGTTTATTCTATTGAGGGAAGTGACCAGTGCCTCATCGGTACTGCAGAGATTCCTGTAGGGGGAATTCACATGGATTCTATCCTTGCTGAGTCTTCACTACCTTTGAAGTATGTTGCTTATTCTCATTGCTTTCGTACCGAGGCAGGTGCTGCTGGAGCCGCAACCAGGTACAGGCCGACATGCTTCCTAGACTGTTTTCTTTTCTCTCAATGACTATCTTATAGAATGAATCTCTTTCCTAAATCAACACCTTTAAGGCTGTGATTCCACTGTCGTTTGATAACTTCATCTCCTTATAAATGAACAACCTGTGAACCTGCGTCACGTTGTTTATAGCACTCTTGTTATTACTATTGATGTATGTTCTCTATCAAGTGTTTGATATATAAATATAATGCTGAGCAGGGGCCTGTATCGAGTCCACCAGTTCAGCAAGGTAGAAATGTTTATATTATGTCGACCTGAAGATAGCGAGTCCTACCTCGAAGAACTCATTAGTATTGAAGAGGACCTTTTCACATCACTGGGATTGCATTTCAAGTGAGAACCTGCATTTATTTGGGTCTTAGTTATCTTTATTTTCACTGTTTTGTTTGAATAACACATCTGTTTTTGGTTGCCCCATTTCATTTCAATGCTTCCTCATTGCAGGACCTTGGATATGGCTTCTGGAGATTTAGGTGCACCTGCTTATCGAAAATTTGACGTGGAGGCATGGATGCCAGGTTTAGGACGGTATGGTGAGGTACTCCTTTTTCTCCTCTCTGCGGTCGGGGTACGATTAGACTTATATTGTCTTGAGAGGTTTAAATCTTGCTTGTAAATCCTATCCTGTCCACAACAGATATCAAGTGCATCAAATTGTACCGACTACCAAAGCCGCAGATTAGGAATCCGATATCGTCCACAAGAACCGATACCAACAACATCAAAGAAGAAGAGTAAAGGCAATCTGGCGCCCACACAGTTCATTCACACATTGAATGCAACAGCTTGTGCAGTGCCAAGAATGATTGTTTGCTTGCTTGAGAATTATCAGCAGGAGGATGGCTCTGTGATTATTCCTGAGCCATTGAGGCCTTTCATGGGCGGACTAGAGATTATTGCTCCCACATCCACATAGCGTCCTGAGTTTCCAAAAGTTTCAATTTTTGCAGCACACAGCCTATTTATGGTGAAAGAGTGAGGAATTGAAAGAAATTCATGCTGGCCACGGATCATCCAATAAATCTCTCATCTTAGTTCTCCCATTTCTGGTACTTAGCTGATTGGTTTCCACATTAAATATTGAGATATGTGTAACTTAAAATGTTTTTAAGTTATTGCAGCTGATTACTACATCATATTTGACCATTTGGTTGGTTTTTAAGCCATACCTTTGACGTTGTATGAAATTCCACTTGATTGGGGAGAAGCACGAAACCTTCTTTGATAAGGGTTTGAAAACCTCTCTCTAACAAATGCCTTTTAAGAACCTTGAGGGGAGCCCAAAAAAAAAAAGACTTAAAAGAGGATAGTATCTACTAATGGTGGGCTTGGACCGTTACACATTGTCTTTGAGTAGATTATAGAGTTCATTTCACTATGAGTAAATAGCCCATTACTTTGTTGTATAATTTTAAATACTTGCTCCCCTTTTGGAGGGCATAGTCACGTAAGACTTTTGACTCGTAATCATAATCTGAATTTTTTTTTTTTTTTTTTTTTTTTTTTTTTTTTTTTTTTTTTTTTTTTTTTTTTTTTTTTTTTTTTTTTGGTGGGAAGGGGAGCCACTGTAATTCTTTGGAAAAGTCCAAAATCTCTTACGAGAATGAAGTATTTTAGAAGATTACAACAAATTAAATGTTTCAAAAGGTATAAACTATGGCCAATTACAAAAGGGAGAGTAGCCGTCTTCAAGTTTAATTGTCCTCTTGAAACTCGCTATAGCTTGAGTTTGCTCAAATCAACTTTCTGAACTGGATAGGTATAACCTTCGTAATTTATCTGTTGTCCCAACCTACTTATTTTTGTCAGAGTGGTGATTAGATCAACCTGGATAATCACCGGGAGGTAAATTCGTGTTTGAGAGGTAAATTCGAGTTTGAGAATATAAGTTCAATTGAAAATATATATTAGATTCAAATATGTAAAGACTTGATTAGATTGATTGCAAAACTAGACATTCTCAAGGCTGGACTTAAGTTTCATCTATTTTAATGTTGAATTGAAAAGAAATAAATAAATAATCATGTGCTCACCTCATAATCAGTCTGGGATACTGTTTCACGGCTACGTTGATACTTTTGGACCCATGGAAGAACATCAGGATCTGAGGCTAGCAATTCCTCAATTGCTGTTTGATCAGGACCCAGAAATGCTGACAGAACAGCTAGCTGATGAAAGTTCGAATGAAGCTTTAGCATTCGATCACTTATAAAACAAACAAAACATCTAAAGATAATTTCAGCCACACATGTTTTTAGTCTTTTGTTTTAGTAGTTTTGTCTCTTTAACTTCAAAGCAAATTAATCATCCAGTAAAAAAAGAAAACTTAGTTCATCCTCCAAGCATATAATCTATTAAGATGTGAGTTAAGTGAAAAATGATTAGAAAAGAAAGAAAAAGGCAACAATGACAAAAGGATTGGGAGAATCAAATGACTAGATTGATTTTACAATGACTCAGATAAAAATACTCTGGAATTTGTTTGATGTGTTAAGTAATTAGAATATATTTTGTCTAACAAACACGAGACATGAAGTCCCCAAGAGACGCTGCACGATCAAGAACTTAATGAAGAAAATGAAAAGAGACAAGTTTTATATTTGTTAGACCACTCAAGTACAAAAGGCAGCTTAGGTTATGGGAAGTGCATTTACCATAACGTTGAAACGTGTTCAGATTTCATCTTGCTAGACAGCATTATCATAGAGCCTAAATCTAATAATGCTCTATGATAATTATAGAAGTAAAATAAAATGAATAATAATTATATGCTGGACGACTTTGAGCTCATACTTAAGAAATCTAATAATGCATGGACAGATTACTACTTGTAAGGCAGCAAAGTATTTCAGATGAAACACTAAATTAAGGAACATACCTGTCGGGGACCAAATCCAATATTAGAGAACTTTTCTTTCATTTCCTGAACGCTAGCTTTCCCCCAGATGGGAACCCTTCCCTCAGGATCAGGCGCTTCAGAATCTGATCTTCCAAATTCCCTCTCAAACAAGCCCCACTGTAGACACAAGGAAACATTTTGTTTGTGTTATGCCCCAAATAATAAAAATATGGAAAATGTACACCTTTTAGACACAAAGTTCATTGAGCACTACCCTAGAGCATTTATCTGCTTATGCACAGACTGCAATGCTCAGAACAAAGTGTCTTTTCTCTTCCACTTGGATGAAGGCCAAGAAATCTCAAACAACTTATGGTGATGACTTAAACATGCTCTTCAATGGAGTTGGCACAATCTTCTGTTGGGAATAAACAGATGCAAGAAACTACTTTTCAAGATTATTTCAATAACCTTGGTACCCAGAAATATTCTTTCTGAATAACCTATTCACTCTAATACCTCTTGACAAGATCAGTTTGATTGCATGGCTTTGGTCACGTAAGAACTACTTAGTAGATTTAACAAGAAACGTGGACTTCGAGAATCAAACACATAGAGGGTTGTCAAACCTCTAGTTGAACTGCCGAAAGATCCTCACTCAAACATCCACCCAATCATACCCACAATGGGAGAATGGATGTTAGAGTGAGTCTAAGTAAGATTGTCAGCGGGTGACCCAGTGACACTTTTGCAGGCTCATGCATGCACTAGTTAAGTATATTTGTGGTACATTCAGATGTTCATGCAGCATGAATATACAAAGAAACTAACCTGTCCGTTGGAACCATACGCAGAATATAACAATTGTCCCTTTTCTTCATTCCCACCACATTTTCTGATGGCAGAAGCTAGAAAAGTGGATTTAACGGCACTTTGTGCTGCAGTGAGAAAATTAACTTGATCTCATTGTTATTCTTTTACTCATAAAAGGCAGTAGCATTAATAGAATACAGGAATACAAATTCAGACTATAAACAGCGTCCTCCAACTCACCCCCACTAGGAACTGAAAGATTCTATAATTTTAAGGGGCTTTGACACTAACAACTTAGCTAACTACGAGCATGATTCTAATTTACAAAAACTAAATAAATACAAAGAAATAAGAGTATCAGAACGAAATTGGACGATATATGAAGTAGTTCAGAGATGGAAATTGTTAAGGTGTAAAACCTGCAAGTTGGATAAGATCTGCGTAGGAAATGGGCCCACCCTTAGAGTACGAATCTATTTCCTTCTTTGCTTCCTCTAAAAAACTCAGAGCAGCAGATAACTTCTCATTTTCAGGTCTAGAGATCTCTGAACTTCATGGCAGAAAGCATGGAAAAGAAGTTAATAGATTTACTATTGAAAGTGCAAGGATTTATTTTATACAATTGAGACGCTTTAAATAGAACTATACTATTTATGCTTCACAGTACCATATGATGACTGAAAAAAAAGAATGTTGGACTAAAAAACGTAGAAGGTTAATGATTCAAAACTAATAATAGAATACCATACTTGAAAATTGTTTGTGAATCATCATTGATGCAGACATGCAAAAGTCTTTTGTGAAAAGAATGTGAATCTCAATGTTTCTCTCAGAAAGAAGGAAATGGCATCTAAAATGTAGTACCTGAAGCGAATGGATCCATTTGGCCCTCCAGTTTTCGTAGCCTAAAAACTTGAAACAGATCATATTAGCATCTTCCTTCCTATCTATCAAGTTTGTTGATGCAGTAAAATCAAGCACAGTTTGTAAATTCAAAGAGAGGAAGAATTTTTGTCTGACCTTGTCGTAAGTTACAGCATCATTCAGAGCTAATGTTAAAAGGGAGGGAACGATGTCTGGATTGTTCTGAAGTAACCAGGGAACAAAAGGGAATGAATATCGCCTCAAGTGTTTGACTATAAGAACATAGGTACTTCAATGTGCAGGCTAAAACAACTATAGCAGTTAAAACCAAAATGTCTTGACTATGTAATAACAGTTATAACCAAAATGTAACCTCTCTTGTTCATATTTTTGGTTCAACCTGTGTTGTGTTGTAAGGCTTTGAACCTTTGACTTCAGTCGAGGTATATACCTTAAGTAGTTGAGCTACACTCAAGTTGACAAATGTACATGAACCTACTTAAAGTTTCTAGTCTAACGATGTTATAGGTCTTAAAGCTCAAATCTCTACCATGTTCCTTATTTCACATTAACAGCCACATGTTGAATCTTAGTTCAAATGGGAAAACCTTAACATAAGAGGATTTGTTGAGAATGTAACAAAAAAAAAAAAAAAAAAAAAAAAAAAAAAAAAAAAAAAAAA